TAATAGCTAATATTCCTACAATGTCATCATAATAATCATTTAATTATTCCAGCTGTGTTTGATAGTGACCTGAACATCTTATTATTTAATTTCTACAAATGACCATAGATAAATAATCCCACTTGACAGGGTGAAAAAAAAAAACAAACAAGCTTTAGTCAGACTGAGACACATGGAATCACTGACACAGCAAATAGCTGTGTGGTTTCTAGATAGGTTCTATAGGAGCCAAGAAGAGGTTCTGTGAGAAAAGCCTTATGGCCCCTCAGTAAGTATCTATGCCCATGATTAGAGCATCCAGTAGACTCAGTTTTACCAATGATTGCATTAAGAATGAAGTCTTGGCATACACTCCATTATACAGTCTCCTGCATCAGGTAGAAAATTTCAGCTACAGAGCCAAAATACAACGAAATCAACTTCAATTGGCTAATACTCCTTCAATTTGCCTACGACCTCACTTCCTTCTGATTCAGAAGGACAGAGACCTTATTTTCTGCTCTATGAAAGAGTGTCCCTGCGCCTGAAACGGAACTTAGCATGTAATTGTGCTCTCTAAACATCTGCAGAATGAAAGAACATCCATTCTGTAGGATGGAGGACTTTTAAAGAAACTGTGGGCTTCCTTTCAGATAGAATCTGAAATAAGTGAGAAAGGAAGGGAGCAGGAGGAATGACGCCTGAAAGATGGTCAGTGATGTATTCACCACGCTTCGGCCTTCATGCAGGGCTGGCTGCATGGAAGAAGGTGCCATATTCACATTCACGCAGAGTTGCACTATAGGGTAGCAATGGTTGACTCTTAGGGAAATTCTTGATATATAGATATCCAAGGTGAGGAGAGACTAAGTGTACTTTCAACAAGTAGACTCTCATAATACAGAGGTGCAATGACTCCTGTGTCCTTTCTATCAGTGAGGCTAGACCCACCGATGCTGACAGGAAGTGCTACGGAGGGCTCTTCTGTGGCATGCTCCACCCCGACACTAAGGACTCCCCTGGCTCCTCAGGAGGTGATGAAAGAAAGGGCACAGAAGCTCACAGCTTGCAGGACAATCCTCTCAAGTGTGTCTTTCAGTGCAATTTTACTCTCCAGGATCTACTCTATTTTTGTGATTTTATAGGTTGCAATTCTGTAATTTCATAAATAAAGGTATTGATTGTTTCAAAGTTACTGGCATTTTCATCATCCCAGTAACTACCAATTTTGAGCCTTGTCAATATTTTCAGCACATTTATGTTTACACCAGACTGTATTATCTCATAGTATTTCTTAATTGAGGTTCTACTGGTATTTGGGGGTGGTCCATTCTTTGCTGGGGGACAGTCCCTCTATTTCAGGATATTAGGAGTGTACTCTTTCTACCAAATGCCAGCAGCACCTGCATCATTAGGGCCACCACCAATGTTCCCCCACATTGCCACATGTCTCTGTGGGAATGGTGTACAGGCCAGGTGAGACGCCCAGGCATATCAGTGCCATCTCAATGTAACACAACTTACAAATAAATGAAGTCTGAAAATACCCAGGACTGAGCATTAGAAGACATCTTAGGGAAAGAACGCACCTAGTAGAATTAGGTGGCCACTGCTATGGTTTGCATATGGTGTGTGACCCTTCAAAACTCAAGCTGAAATTTAATCCCTATTATGAGCTGTTTGAGACCCCCATGGACTCTTTAAGAAGAGATTGGGGATCTGCTCTCATGAATGGATTAATCTATTCACGTGACTAATAGATGAATGAATGAACTCATTAGCTTGAAAGTGGGTTTGTTATAAAATCCAGTTTGTTCAGGTCTTTCCCGTGTGTCCCGTCTTTGATCATGTGATTCTCTGTGCCTTCTGGGACACTCATGGTAGGAGGGTCATCACTAGGAGGGGTCCCTTTACGCTGGACTAGAACCATGAGCCCAAACAAACCTTTGTCTCTCCTTTTAAAAAATTACTTGTCCATTCTGTGTATTATTAGCAACAGAAAATAGTCACTTTCTCAGTACACACCCTTTTTCCTCTCCTTTGTCCTTTGCATTTGAGAATCTTGGTCAAAATTTATCAAGCCCAGGTCTGTACTGTTTCAGTGGGAAAATACTGCCAGTAAGTTGGAGAGAGGGAGACTATGTTAGGGAAAGTGTAGGAGGGATTGTTTACAATTTAGTTTTCACTTGTTTGATATTTTGCTTGTTTTCATATAAGACATATGATGTCTCCAGATTTCAAGTCTACCCACCTGCCTGACAATTACTGAACTGCCTAACACAAGGCCGGGGGCTTGATGTACTTTATTTTGTTTTGTTTTTACAACAGTTTGCTCCATGTAAAACACTGTTCACATTCCCATTTTTATAGATGAATCAACCAAAGCTTTCCAAAAGTCTGAAACTTCTTCATAGTCAGCTTTCTGCTTTTAGATCTGTGTTGTGACTATGACACTTCTGAAAAAGGCCTGGAAGCGGGCATGGTGGTGCACACCTGCAATCCCAGCACTCTGGGCGGCTGAGCAGCAGCCCTGCAGCAAGTGTGAGTCCAGCCTGGCCAATTTAGAGACTTAGCAAGACCCTGTTTCAAAGCTAAAAAAGGCTGGGAATATAGCTTAATGCCAACTCCCCGCAGTGGGTTCAATTTCTAGTTAAAAAAAAAAAAAAAAAGAAAAGAAAAAGATGCTAGGCCTAGGGAGTGGGATGAAGGTGGTAGCAAGTTTGCTTATTTTCCAACTTTTGGACAAGCCTCCCCCTCCAGGGAACACCAAGTGGCATCAACAGGATCCAGCTGGTCGGAACGGCTGGAATGTTGGCTCAGTTTGGACCAATGAGGGGGCAAGGCCCTTGCAGGCAGTTTTTCTAAGTGACACTGGGGAAGGGGTGAATTGGCTGCTTCTTTAGGAAACCAGTGCCAGCCAGAGTCTGTGGCTGCTTGGAGGATTTGGCTGCCCCTCTTACTCGAGCTCTACAAAACATTCAAGACCGGATGTTGGGGAGAGGAAGGAAGGGAGGAAGTTGGCTGGTTGATCCTAAGGAACCCGATGCCCTGGCTTCTAGGGCTCCACTCTGGGAACAAAAAGCCAGAACAAAACAGACATGAAGATCCATGAGCTGTATTGTTTTGTATCACATTAATTTAACAATATTTCATACAGTGCCACGTGCCAGGTTTTCTTTTGGCACGTGCAGAAGCAGCCACAAACAAACCCGGCAAATACCTTTGTGTGCCTAGTGCTTACATTCTAATGAGGGGACGGACACAAACACCTCCCTGTCAGATGAAAAGAAATCTTTTGGACCAAAAGCAACAAGCAGGGGAGAACATACCTTGTGAGGCATTTTGATTTTCAGCAGCGATCAAGTCTCCTGAAGTGATATTTGAATAAATAATAACAACCACCTTCCGGGTACAGTTATCTCACACATGCTCACAACAACCCAAAGAAACATGGTTTTGGCTAGCGTCATTTCACAAAGAATTGAGATTCAGGGAGACAGAGAGATTTCGGGTTATGGTCAGCTAGCGAGGAGTTGTACTAAGATATAGAACCCAAGCAATTGATGCCTGCAGTACAGGCATCCTAACCAGGTAGTGGGTGCAAATGGTTTCTCTGGGTCCCTACAAGGCGACTGGGGCACTACTCATGAGCAAACGTGCACCGACTTGATCGGGGGACAGGAGGAGTTGGGGTGCCCGCAGTTTTCATGGAGCTGAACCAGGGAAGGGAGTTCTCAGGTCCTTGGCAAACTTGTGGGCTGGTGGGGGAGGGTGCGCAAGCGCTAGGGTTGTTCCAGGACAGTGCAGGTCGAATCTCACCCAGCTGCTCTAGGCAATAAGGGAAGACCTCACAGGCGCTCCTTGCCCTCCTGGTGGGGTTCGCGCGGGGTTTCTAGGATAGTTGAAGAGGGCGGTGGAGCTGAGCTCTTTGACAGGAGCCAGGCCACAACAAGGAGCGACACCCTGCGTAGGATCCCCAGTGTGTTCCCAGGAGGCCCCAACACAGTGGCAGGCGTTTGGGAGTCCTGGGTTGGGACTGGAACTGTGTGCAGCCAATGGATAAGAACCATGACGTGCGGAGGTAGAAGGGGTAAAAGCAAGGCGGGCGCACATTTCCACGGTGAAAGGGGCATAAGGGGTGTCCAGGAAGGAGCTGGAGAGAAAGAGAGTGTGAGTCAGCTTCGAGCACTGGAAAGGTGGTGCGGAAGGGCATGGGAAGAAGTGAGATGGAACTGATGAGAGGAGAGAGAGAGAGAGAGAGAGAGAGAGAGAGAGAGAGAGAGAGAGAGAGAGAGAGA